TGAAAGTTTTAACGGCCCTTGCCGCCCCTCCTTCTTTGGACTTTGGGTGAGGGTGGTGTGGGACTTGGTGGCGGGTGAGGGCGGTTACAGATAGACTGCAGCGGGGCTCTGTCCTCCTGCCTCCGGTCTTGCAGAACATCCATAAGGCGCTGGAGCGTGTCCGTTTGCTCCCTCATTAGTCCAAGCAGCTTTTCAGTAGCCTGTTGGTCCTCCTGACGCCACCTCTCCTCTCGTTCCATGACTGCTCGGTGCATTTGTGACAAGTTCTCCCTCCACTGTGTCTGCTGGGCTGCCTGGGCTCGGGAGCAGCCCATTAGTTCTGTGAACATGTCTTCACGCGTCTTCTTCTTCCTCCGCCTAATCTGCGCTAGCCTCTGGGAGTGTGCTGACAGGCTGGGTTGGGAGACAGTCGCAGATGTGTCTGTGTGAATTGTAAAAAGGGAGTGAATTCCTGAGACAGATAAATGAAGTTGTGCACAAAGAACCTAGTCTTTTTCTGTGAACAAGACCATGCACTGCACCTCTCACATGCGCACTCAGGACAAGGTCGAATTTTCGGCCCTCGCCTTCAGTGCCTGTGGACTTGCGGTGGTCTTGGAGTGATCAGAGAAGCGTGGCTGGAGACCTGAACTTCTGTAGCGGGCAATCATGGTAAGCCGTAGACTTGTGGCTGCTTAAAACTCTATTAGTAGCACTGGCCTCCTTTCACATTGAAAGCAATGCCAGTCTCTGCTGCCAGCAATCAGGACAGCATCAACTCTGCCCCTGTCCCACCCCCTCGCGGCTGTCCCAGGGAAAGATCCCTGTATGCTGCCCCTCTCCCTCCACCGCGTGGCTGTAAAGCAGTCCCAATACTAACATTCCCCTCCCTAATTCAAAGCAGGGCGTCATGAGCGACATCACCCTCCTGAGGATCTCGGACACCCAGAAGGAACGCATGCTTAGGGAAAGCATGCAGAAACCAGGGCCGTATGCCGCCATGCTATGTCGTGCGATGATCCCGGAGTACTTGATTGTGGCGTGGCGGGGACACGTGTGCTACCACGGAGGGCCCAGTAAGATCGCCCTACCCAGGAACCTGATGAACAGGCTGGAAATCTACCTCCATGAGACCTACGAGGAGTTCTCCTATGAGGATTTCGCATCAATCCCCGGCCATATTGACCGGATTTTCGCCTAGGTGCACTGGGACTATAGAGTGGAGCGTCTTGGGCCACAGAATCATGAAGTACCGGACATTGTAAAAAATTTTTTAAATACTTGGGACTAAATTGTGAAGAGCCTAAGGCAGAGAAATCATGAGAAACCCTTTGTTACCATTGTAAATATTCCAGTTTTGTAGCAGATAATTTTTTACATGTTTAAAGCACTTTGGTAAAAACACATTGTTAATATTATGAATATTCCCGTTCTGTTAAAAATAAATTTGTACATGTTTACAGCACTTACTGCTTGATCCTTCCCCTGATTCTGTGTCCGGGGTAAGGGATGGGGACGGTTGGTACGGGATCTCGGTAAGAGTGATGAAGAGCTCCTGGCTGTCGGGGAAATCAGCGGTGCCAGCGCTGTCGACTGCCTCGTCCTCCTCATCTCCTTCTTCATCTTCCCCGTCCGCTAACATGTCCGACGAGGAACCGGCCGCGGACAATATCCCATCCTCAGAGTCCATGGTCACTGGTGGGGTAGTGGTGGCGGCCGCACCTAGGATAGAATGCAGTGCCTGGTAGAAACGGGATGTGTGGGGCTGGGATCCGGAGCGTCCGTTTGCCTCTTTGGTTTTTTGGTAGCCTTCTCTCAGCTCCTTGATTTTCACGCGGCACTGCGTTGCATCCCGGCTGTAGCCTCTCTCTGCCATGGCTTTAGAGATCTTCTCGTAGATCTTAGCATTCCTTCTTTTGGAGCGCAGCTCTGAAAGCACGGACTCATCGCCCCACACAGCGATGAGATCCAAGACTTCCCGATCAGTCCATGCTGGGGCCCTCTTTCTATTCTGGGATTGCACGGTCACCTCTGCTGGAGAGCTCTGCATTGTTGCCACTGCTGCTGAGCTCACCACGATGTCCAAACAGGAACTGAGATTCAAACTGCCCAGACAGGAAAAGGAATTCAAATTTTCCCGGGGTGTGGCTGGTCAGAGCATCCGAGCTCGGACTGCTGTCCAGAGCGTCAACAGAGTGGTGCACTGTGGGATAGCTCCCGGAGCTATTAGCGTCGATTTCCATCCACACCTAGCCTAATTCGATATGGCCATTTCGAATTTAGCGCTACTCCTCTCGTTGGGGAGGAGTACAGAAGTCGAATTTAAGGGAGCTCTATGTTGATCTAAATAGCTTCGTGGTGTGGACG